TACGTCCTCCTGTTCACTTACGTCCTCCTGTTCACTTACGTCCTCCTGTTCACTTACGTCCTCCTGTTCACTTACGTCCTCCTGTTCACTTACGTCCTCTGTAACGGACGTCTGATTTGTGGTCTGTATCTTTTGGCTCATTCGAGCGATCCTAACAAGTCCTGATGGACGACATCGAGGACATCCTGGACTTTGAGCCCTCTTTATTTTTCCTCAGTTCTCAGAAGGATAAACTTTATTTTATTTAACATTACTGTATTTGAGATGATTTTATTTTCCCATTAATGAATATTTTCTTTAAATAATGTCATTATATCACTGCAGGCTCAGGGTTTGGGGTTTTTGTTTTTTGGACAGATGTTTTAAACAGTTCATTTTGAAGAGCTGCACTTTCCCCCCCTTTGGAATATATATTATTGATCATAGTAACACAAAAGTATTTCTTACCTGATTTCTCGATTAATTAATGGAACAACTGATAGAACATTCAGTGACTAACAACCAGAGTCTACATGAGAGCAGCCAGCATAGTTCAAGAGAGAAGCACAGCGAGGTTCATGGTTTGATGAACAGTATTATTATTCTAAGAGTCTGTAACGATCAAACTACAAACACTTCATGAAAAGCACAATAATTAACATGACTAATCCACAACTACTGAGACAGCTTAGAGCAGCAGCACAGGTAACACTCTACAAACCATGAGTTCACTTTAAAAGGCAAAAGTCCAACTACTGCATCACTTGGAAAATTCAAGTTGGATAAACAATAATAAACAAATAATGACCTTTCAGCTGCTGGAAGCTGTTGCTGTGCTCCACAGGTGTGTCGGGGCTCGAGCCACAGATGGTTTGTGATTAGCTCTGGATCTTTAAAGAATTGTTTATTAAAGTCACACCTGAAACAGTCACATATCTGTGTGAACCAATTACAGCTGAGCATCCCTCAATAGGTCCAACCTCGTACGAGCACCTGATTGGTCTGACCAACGGGGTTTAACGATGCGTGGGACTCCAGCATAAGCGTTACAACAGCGTTTATAAGAACATCAGGAGGAACTCTGAGACGCTGTGAAATCCCACAGCAGCTCAGGGTGATGTCATCCTGCAGGGATGGTTTACACCTGACAGTGAGTAACCATGGAAACGCAGGGGATGTTTTAAATTTCATGAACTGAAAAATTAAGCCTTGACTTGAGTTCATTTGGTGTAATTTCTCTGTTTACTCGTGCACGTTTGACTCCTGTGCTCCTCACAAATATGCACATTTGTGCCGTCACACAGCAGAGTGACCGCTACGATCTTTTTATGTTGCATGTTTACCGAGGATCAAAGAAAGCTATTGGACATTTGAAGATACTTCACAGAAAAGCTTGAAATAAATCAGATGTAGATTTTAACAGAGTGAAAAATGAAATCCTGCAAAATGAAGAAGAAAACATAAAATGACAAAAGAGGAAGTGCTGTGACTGAAGACAGACGTCACTGTGTGGAGTCTACCTCTGCAGCTGAACTAAATGTTGGCCTATAGCTCACATTCACCACTGACTTTGTTTGCTGTTTAGCTCTTGTGTCTTGGCAGATTGCATGAGTCATTTTGCTTTTCTGCAGTCTGATATTTGAGGTTGAGTCAGTGTGTATAAAATAAGTTGATGCCTTAATAATCCCATCAAACTAGATGGTGGTGGCGTTTGATCGGCACATGCTGACTGCATTCTTTTTATAACCAGGTCAGGAAAGAGAACAGGAGGAGCGAGCAAAGGAGAAGAGATGCAAAATGAAGGAAACCACAACAGCAGGAAAGACGAAGGAGAGGTGAGCATCAGAAAGAGGGCATACAGTTCAAACGCAGCAATCGTGGTGCAAAAAAAGCTCCGAGGCTGGTAAAAACTCCGTACTGTCAAATAAAACTGCAACAAACAAGAAGGACTCAAATTAATGTTCTTCTCAAGCAGGAACCCAAAAGATTTCAGTGCTGGGCCAAGTCCTCAGTGATGCTAGCGACGCCCCTGTTACAGATGATCGTTGTTGTCTGAATACCGACGCAAATGTGGTGTTCGTGTGCGATTCACGCGTGATTTGTTACACTATTTACACTTAGTACGATACTTGGGTACGATGTAAACGCTCGCATTCAAAGAGCAGGTTACAGGAGAAAAGTTTCGCTCATTTTCTACCAAGTGAACAGACGGACTTTAAATCCATCCTGTAGCCAGAGCAGACCACTCATGTCTCGGTCTCTGCTGCTGTGTTAACAATAGCAGCAGGGACCGCCTTTAGTGCTGTTGTTGTAAGAATCTTCGAGGCCGTGCGGCTACAATTAGCAGCAATAATAAAAACGTGTATTACAAAACTCACCGGAGTCCAACGCGTGTGCTTCCACCAGAGACATTGTGTGTTACACTACGTCGTTTCCGTAGAGTACAACTAACCGCCCGTCAAAGGTTCCGTCCAGGAATTCCGATTTGTTCTACACGTATGAGGAAAAAGCTTCTTCGTGTACTCGCCAATAAAACCCAGAGAAATAAACACAGCGACGTTTGTTCTGTCTGCAATAGTAATGAAATGGCTCATTCGGGCCATTAGAGGTTAAAGCGGGTTCCGTGCTGCGCCAAAGTTAACCCGGTAGAAAATGTAGCTCGGGCTGTGTCCCAGTTCAGACTTTTTTCTCTCCGTCTTTATTTCAAGAGGAACAGTAACAACAAATATAAAACACGGAGGAGACAATGTACTGCAAAATGATGATACAATGGAAGAGTGCGCCAAATTAAACAGGTAAGATGCAGATCAAAATTAAAAGGGGAAAATAAGAAACAGGAATAAAAAATAAAAGAAAAACAAGCGAGAGATACGTGACATTGAATCATTAAACGGGGACATTAAACGCACAATTATTACATTATTACATTACAGATATTTACGGTTTTAAAAGCTTTTTTGTTGTGAGAGGAGCAAGTTGTATTCACAGAGTTCAATTTCTTTCCTAAAAGTGAGAAAGTGAGGTTCATTGCTTGAGAACTTTTATGTTATTTGGCGAGGAGTAAAATCAGATTAATGAGGTAAAAAGCATTCGAGTCTTTCCTACTAAGTCAGTGTAACCAAATAACACATTTTGGTAAAAAAGCACAAAATTTGATAAGATGTTCTTAGAGATGAAACCACAAAATCTACGTAGAGGTACAAGACCAGAATAGATGTGAGCAGGACTCTGGGGCGATCTTACAGAAGGAGCAAAGAGTGTCTACATCCCTCTTACATTTCTGAGGGAAGCATTTAACAGGGTAGAATCTATGAATTAGCTTAAATGAAATTTCCTTCACTTAGTAAGGAGGATTTTTTTGGCAAACACCAAACTTTCTTCCAGTCAATGTCCTAAAAAAAATAGACCAGAAAGAAATGGCAGGAGGAATGGAGACAAGTGACTCTTGAAAAAGAGACCTAATCTTGGCATTCACACCTTTACAAGAGGAGAAACTAAATAAATAAATAAATAAATAAATAAATAAATAAATAAATAAATAAATAAATAAATAAATAAATACCAACAAAAGTGCGAAATAAGATTTGGTAATTTGACTGGTTCTTATATAGCTTATAGGGCTATATCTCATAAAGAAAAATCACACGGACGCAAGTTTTTCTCTTTTTCTTGTGTGGAGCGTGTGATCCACACAAGTCCAGGAGGTGGCGGTAATGTACGTTCAAAGCTGGTTTGCGACCCCCGCTAAACCCGAAAAGAAGAAGAAGAAGAGGCGGATCGTCGAGATCGGCGATCGACTGTTTCAGCTGAGTACGCAGCACACAGCGAACGCATTGGTGATGATTTTACGAACTTCCAGATAACCTGCAGCTTCACAAACATGACAGACTACGCCGAAGAGCAGCGGAATGAACTCGAAGCCATAGAGTCCATCTACCCAGACTCCTTTACAGGTCTGAATGGCACATAACGTTAAGTAGGATTGTAGCACGAAAGTAGTAGCTAGCTCATAGCTAGCAAGTACACGTTACTTAGCTTGCTGGTCTTGATGCATGCTCAGTGATCCACGTAAGGAAATCCCAGAAGGTTGATTCTGTTCATCTGGACGTTTTCAGCGGGAGAAACGTTTCATCCAGGGGACGTCTTCAGTCTCAGCTGACTGCAGGTTTCCAACCTTACAAACAGAACATTTGTACAACGACTGAAACCTTTCACGTGAAAAGGGAAAGACCATCTCTGAATCGAGGAGGGGACCTAAGGGTACACCTGTGTCCATCTTACAATGCTGTGATTGCAGCCATCCCCCCACTCTCTGTGAATGACACTCACCAATGGTTGTTGATCAATGGTCATGAGAATTTGCAGAACTGACCTCCCAGCCCGTTGTTAATCAGCTGTGCTGGTTTCAGTCGTTGTACAAATGTTCTGTTTGTAAGGTTGGAAACCTGCAGTCAGCTGAGACTGAAGACGTCCCCTGCATGAAGCGTTTCTCCTGCTGAAAACGTCCAAATGAGGAGCATCAACTTTTTGGGATTAGCTTGCTGGTGTTCTTGTGTTTGTGAAAGGATGCTCATATTAATGTCAAATATTAAAATACTAATACTATTTCTATTAGCACGCGGTAGCTGTTGGGAAAAGCAAAGCTTGCCTGAAGTCTTTGTTATTGGTATCCAAATCTTTATTTCTAAATGTGAATATTGATAAAGAGAAGAGGTTGGTAAAATCGTGAAATATGCCTTAGTTACCCAGCCACTTGTGAAATCATGGTAATAGTGATGTTACTAATGAATGTGTACTTGCAGTGCTCTCAGAAGATCCAACCAGCTTCACCATCACGGTCACGTCTGATGCCGGGGAGAACGGGGAAAGTAAGTAAACTGATGAATGTGGTTGGAAAACGGTGTGTTGCTAGCACTGCAGCTGTTATTATGTCAGGTGTTTCAAACTGAACTGCTCATTGCTTTCCATTATAGAATGTGTGTATATGCAAGTGTACATTTATAGCATATATTTAAAAGCAACTTAGCATTTGAAGTGGATCATGATGATAGGACAGTATTGTAAAACCTCTGGTGTGAAATCCATGACCGTTGAGCCCGTCTGTGACTACCGTCTGACAGCAGTTGAAAGAACACTGGTCCCAGTGATACTGCTTTGCTTCTAAGGATGTTCCCCTGCATGGTCGCAGGATCAGTTATGTTATCAGAACTGTTCTTGTGGGGTCTTAGTAACACAGCAAAGGCCACTTTAACGCACCCCACTCAGGGCCTCCAGGAACTGCATGGTTGATTGATGAGCACGAATAACAAGACCCTTTACTTGACCAGAATGAAAGCAATCCTCTCGTCCACTAGTGAAAACCCCACTATGCTGGCACTAAGCTGGGGGGGTACACGTATATCCACCTGTTTGACTTTACATGTAGTGAATAAAGAATAAATGAAAGTTTTATCTTTAGTTAAATAATAAAAAGAACTTTTTCATTGTGCACTTGTAAAGTTGTGGAACATGAACTGTCTGTTGTCTTTTTGCAGCTGTGGAAACAACTTTAAAGTTTACGTATGTAGACAAGTACCCAGACGAGCCCCCGCTGTGGGAAATCTATTCCCAGGAGAACTTGGAGGAGAGTGACGCAGAAGATATCCTCACACTATTACAACAGCAGGTCTGTCAGTGGATTTATCTGAGCAGGCGTGGGTCTGGTGCTGGTTGAGGGCTAATTAGTGGCTTCTAGATCTTTCCAGATGCTTGGATGGAAGCCCAGTGCCTTGGATGACAGCTTCACTGTTGCGTGTCTACATTTGTGATGTAGATGAAGCTCAAACCTCATTAAGAGGAATCTGTGAAGAAATGCTGCCGAATCTTAAAGCTTCAGACATTCGTACAGCTGGTCCATGGGCACGACTACAGTAACATTGTAATGAAATATGGGTGCATATTAATAACACAATAACAGTGTATGTTCATTGAACTGTGCAGTGATGCATGTCAGACATGTAGCGAGATGGAGACAACTTTAAATGTTTCCAAAGCGTTTAAAAGGATTGATATGTGTTCTTTTTATCAGTGTAACTCAGAGTATCAGATTGATGCTTTATACTGGCCATACACGAGCAGTCAGAAGCTTGGACACACCTTCTCATGTGATGGTTTTTTACATTGTAGATTCTCACTGAAGGCATCAAAACTATGATTGAACACATGTGGAATTATGTAGTAAACAAAAAGTGTGAAACACCATAATACTGTTTCAGGCTTGAAGGAGTTCCCACAGATGCTGAGCACTCGTTGGCCCTTTGCCTTCACTCTACGCTCCATCTCATCCCAAACCATCTCCACTGGGTGTAGGTCAGGTGACTGTGGAGGCCAGGCCACGGTGCAGCACTCCATCACCATGTGATGTCTTCATGTTGTACCTACAATGTCCAAAGTGCTAGAAATAAAGAAAAAACATTGAATGAGAAGCTGTGTCCAAACATAGATATCCATGTGACAACGCAGCAGCGGGAGGATGCGCTTAATGAGAAAATTTACTTTCAATTTTGTATTTTTTATGTGAACTGAAGAAGCTTCACAGGTGAAACATCTCCAAGAACCTTACAGAAGCTTGCTTTCCAAGCTCCTTAAACTACACGGCAATAATAACAATCAAAATGTAGGTGACATCAGACGTCTCTCCATCGCCTTATTGCAAAAAAAAGAAGAATTGAACCAAAAGTGTCGAACTGTTCTTGGACAGTTGGTGAAATGTGGCTTTGTATGTGGCTTTGTATGTTTGTGTTCACTGTGCAGGCAGAAGAAAACTTGGGCATGGTGATGATCTTCACCCTGGTTACAGCTGTTCAAGAGAAACTTAATACAATTGTTGATGTGATGAAAAATAGGCAAGAAGAGGAAAAGCGGAGGAAAGAGAGAGAGGCCCAGGAAGCAGAGAAGGTAGAACCCAGACGGGATTCATGCCCATTCACTCTCTGCACGTAATCAGCCAAGGTTTTATTTTATTATAACAGTAGTTGCTTTCAACAGGTGGCTTTCCAGGGAACAGTGGTAACCATTGAAAACTTCCTGGCATGGAAAGCCAAGTTTGAGCTGGAAATGGCTGAACTGAGGAGAAAAAGACAGAAAGAGGAGGAGCAGGCAGGAAAACCCAAACTGACAGGTACACGGTGTTACTCGAAGACACCAAAAACTGTAAAGATGATGACGTACGTGTCCTGACTGAAGACTGTGCATCTGTCACCAGGTAAACAGCTGTTTGAGAGAGACCACAACCTGGACACATCTGACATTCAGTTCCTTGAAGATGGTAAGGACTGTTTCTGAGTGTTGTGCTTCTTTTTGTTGTGAGGACTAAAGTCATTTATAGGACAGTGGAATCTAAACATAGCACTTGTGTGGACGTCTGTGTTTGCAGGTAGTCAGTAGGCACGTGATCAGTCGTGGCCATCTTTGTGATGGGCTGATGGATCCTTGTTTCATTCGGGATGGTGGTTCCGACACTCAGTAGTCGCTGACCTCCTTCCTTCCTCTCAGTGTGCCGTGTCTGGGGTGAAACCCTCGCTTTCTTGCCTCGGTCTCAGTGGCTTCCACCTTTTCCTTTGGCCATCCTATTATCCCAGCAGTGTTGATTGCTCGGATCTCGTTCTTCCCGTTCAGCCGACCCTCGGGGCTCGCCTTATTCTCTGCGGGTATTTGGTGGTTGCAGTTTTCCGAGGTTCCTCTTTACGGCTTCCATTTTCTCGTGGGATTAAAAGATACTTATAGCTGTACTCAGTATCTGCAATTCCCGATCAACATCTCTTTGTTACCATCCGAGTACGTTTCTCCAGTCCGAATGACATTCCGATGTCATTGCTGTAGATCCCAGCGGTGTCAGCTGACAGGTTTATCCTTCGGGAGTATGAGGTAACACGTCTGTCGTTACAGGGCGTTAGGTACGTGTAGCGACGGCCATGTGGTCGGCAGTTTCTGGTGGATGCTGCCCTTTGTCACAGATTCTGTTGTGGACGGTATCCAGGTGTAGCAGGTAGTGGAGGGTCTCTGTTTTGGTGGCATCAGGGTTTCAGCTGTGCTTTTTGCGAATGTTGTGGTTCTGTTGGCTTCATCAGGTGGTGACCTCCAGCTTTCACTGGAGCGGTTTGCTGCTGAGTGTGAAGCAGTTGGATTCAAAATCGGCACCTCCGTTTCCGAGACCTTCTCAGCTTGAAAGGGTGGAGTCAAACTCTGTGTCAGGGACGAGTTACTACCCCGGGTGGAGGAGTAGGTCGGGGTCTCGTTTACAAGTGAGGGCAGAGTGGAATGTGAGAACGTCAGAAGGATTGAGCCACGGACTTCGTATCATCTTGTTTTGGTGAGGAGAGCTTAAAAGCAAAGTTGTTGATTTACTGCGGTCTTCCTTCCTGCCCTCACCTGTGCTCATGAGCTCAGCCTAGTGACCAAGACGACAAATTTGCAGATACAAGTGGCAGAAGTAAGCTTCCTCTCCTTTAGCGATAGACTGAGGAGCTCAGCTGAGAGTAGAGCCGCCAGCCACAGCGAAAGGAGTCAGTTTACGTGGTTCAGGCATCTGACGAGGAGGCCCCCCCCCCCACCTCCTGGGTGAAGTATTCTGGGCGTGTCCTACTTGGTGGGTGCACTCATACAGACCCAGGACTTGCTGGACAGATTATATGTCTTGGTTGGCTTGAGAACAACTCATTGTCTGCCCAGATGAGCTGAAGAGCCAGGGTGATGGAAGTCTGGGCTTCAGACCCCGGTGACCCGAACCTGGATAAGTGGCAGAAAATGGATGGAATTGTGTTTGTGTTTGTGTAGCTAGGGAGAAACGGGATTGGCAGCAGGCAGACACGTGAAAGAGAGAAAAAAACGTGACTTTCTAAGATCTGATTTGCCGTGTCAGAGTCACAGATCATCTGGGTCTGTTGGCTCAGTCAACAACTCCCAGTCAGAGAACAGCATTTAGTAGGAATAATCTTTTTCCTGTGAAGTTTCTTCTAACCCCGTGGCTTTCTTCTTACGCAGCTGGAAACAACGTTGAAGTGGACGAGTCACTATTCCAGGACATTGAGGACTTGGATTTGGATGAAGATGACCCAGATTTTGACCCTATAGAGATGGGTAGTGATGAAGACTAAAGGCAGAGCAGGACGGTGGAATCAAAGGCTTCAAGCATGATCAGAGGAACATGCTGCTCTTGTCCTGGACGCCGTCTTCTGGCCATTAAGGACATGTCTGCTTTTTTTTATTTTACAAAACTCCGAATGAAAGGAGAGGAAATTGTTTAAAAACACTCAACAGTTGGTGTTTATTTCAACTGCCTCGATTAAGTCTGATAAAAATGTGTGTTCCCTCTGGGGCTTTGTCTTTAAGCTCATCCCAGTATCAGCAAGTTTCTGTCCAGTTGAAGGCACTAAACTGTCAGGTATGGCCAGAGAATAAAAGTCTTGCTTTGCTGAGGTTGAAATAACTATACTCTATTACATGTGACCGCATTTCCAGAAAAACTAGAATATTTTCCGATGTGCAGTAAAAACATTCTGTGACAATAAATCAGGTGAGCAGTTCTTTACGTGACCAAAGTAAGATTTTAGTAGTTGGACTGACTAACTCCAAATTTGAATTTGATGGCTGTAACACTGTGGGAAAGTTGGGCATGTTTAGCAGTTTCTTACATCAGTTTTCCTTCAAATAATTTAATTTAGAAGTGAGTCTAAGATGTGTAGCAGTGGTTAGCAGAGATATATAATATAGAGATATATGATATAGAGATATATGATATAGAGATATATGATATAGAGAGATAGATATATATGATATAGAGATATAGAGAGATATAATATAGAGATATATAATATAGAGATATAGATATAGATATATATGATATAGATATAGATATATATGATATAGAGATATGGATATAGATATATATGATATAGAGATAGATATCTATAGATATATCTATATCTATAGATATATATATATATAGAGAGAGAGAGATATCTATATATATCTCACTACCGATCAAAAGGTTTGGAACAGCCCAATTTTTCCAGTTATTTATTGCAATTCAAGTTTAATTCCACTAAATATCTTGAAATAGAACAAACAAGTGGTGAACTGCCAGGTTAAAATAAAAGATACCCAAAAGTGAAAAATAATGTACATTTCAGAATTATACAAAAAGGTCTTTTTCAGGGAACACAACATGGGTTAACAATTTAAAGCTGCTCTGCAGCAATTGAGACTCAGGTTAGTGATACTAATTCCTGCAGGTACAGCCCCTCTGTGTGCTGGGCACACTGTGGCACCAGACCCTCGTGAGCATCAGTTGAACATTATTGTACTGCAGAAAGTAGTGTGTTGGTACAGAAATGGTGACAACAAGACGATTAACAATGGAAGAGAGACAGACCATAAACATAAATGTAGGTGTGTCCTACAGAGAAACTGCAAAGAAAGTCAAGTGAGTCCAGTTTCCTTCATCATCCAAAGGCTCAGAAACTGTGACAGGAAGAGGTCTGCAGACCCAAAGACACGACTGAATCAGTTACAGTGTGATGGCGGCTCACAGGACAACAGCTACAAGCAGCTTAATCGTGGTCGTAGTGAGAAGTCTCAGTTTCATCTGTGAAGAGAAAACTTCCTGCTGCAGGTTTGACAGGACGAGCTGCAGCAACATCACAATAAGACAAAGAGGCTTGGCTGGGCCATAAACTCCACCACTGCACTACTGCAGACTGGAAGGTCTTATGGACTGATGGATCAGAATTTGGAATCTTTGGTTAAGTGTTATCAAACACAGAGGTGATCACTGAGCAGCTACGTGGTTTCACTCCATATGTGATGTTTCCTTTGACAGTGTTGATGAAGACTGAAGGTGTTGCACTGTCTCTTTAGACAAGAACTGTGTGTATGACAAGGTTCCTATATAGTACATTTCTGGTGTACTTGACCCCAAGTATTTTATTCAAGGTCTCATTCAGAGCATTTACTTACACATTCACACTACAATGAATGCATTGGGAGCAGCACGGGGTTTAGTCTCTTGCCCAAGGATACTTTGGCATACAGTTTGTATGGAGATGAGTGTTTTTTGGTGATTGGTGACAGAAGGATGGCAACAAGGAAAGTCCACAAGTGGACATATTACACAAAGGATGTTGAAGCTACCAGGTGGAAGGAAAAGAGGAAGACCTCAGAAGAGTTTTTGAATGTAATGGGACATACAGAGGGCATATGTGACGGAAGATGATGCTAATGATGGAGTTAGATGGAGGCAGGTGATCCAATATGGCAACCCCTTAAAGGAGCAGCTGAAAGATGAAGACGACTGTTCTGAGTAACCAGTTTCTCAGTTTTTCTCATTGCTTCTCTCCGTACATATTCAAAATGTTTACCATTTGATGTAGCTGTCCCTCTCAGTTCAGTCAGATGGGTGTCTGCAGTGCTTTTCCCAGCTCTTTGGGTGTGGACATCTATTAAAGACTACAGAGAAACCATGGTGGGATCATCAGCTGACGGATGGTGACGAGGTGAGGTGATCGTCCTGGTTATACTAAAGTTAAAGACAAAAAGTCAAAATGATTGATCATCCATGCTGTCACATAGACTCAGATCTGCACGGCTTCTGTTTTAAACACTGTAGTCAGCTGCAGAAAGAGGACATGAGATTTTCTCTGACAGCATTCAATACAACCTGATGTAAGGTCAAAGGTCGTCACTTGATGATGAAATAAAAACTTTAGCAAGGAATTCTTTCACACTGGGTCTTGCCAATAGTGTGTTACTTACCATAAAGTAATTCAGAGTCAGTCATATCTGAGTAATGACATTGTAATGTATATACATTGTTACTGTATAGCTTTCTACAGGACTGAAGGAGGTGCTGGTAAAGACTACGAGTCCTGCTTGATCCCTGCGCCGAGATCTGGTACAGGACAGCTGTGATGATGCATCCAGGAGACGCAGCTCGGTCCTGATGGTCTTCTCATTAGTGCTTTTCCAGGGTGAATGTTGATGATAATAATATCATCATATATATTTAATCTCGGTAATATTCTGGGTATTTATATTTGAGCTATTTCTTCTATTTTGTAACTTTATTACATAATGTATTATTTGATTTATGTCTGTGAAGGTTCTCAGTCATCCAGGTCGTCGTAGTCTAAGGAGCTTGCAAAGAGAAGCGTCTGGACTTCTTTAAGTTACTTGAAGACGTTTCACCTCTCATCCGAGAAGCTTCTTCAGTTCTAAGGTCAAATGGTGGAGAGTCCCAGATATAAACCTAGTGGGAGTTTCCCCCCACAGAGGGACAAAAGGACCCCTGATGATCCTCTAATCGCCTGAGCCAAGGTGTGAAACTGGGTGTGGGTCCCGAGTTTCGGGTGAGCTCATTGTGAAACCTGGCCCCACCTTATCATGTGAATTCCTGAGATCAGATGGCCCAGAAATTCGCATGATAAGGTCGGTTTAGTTCAGGCTGTTGCTGTTCTTATTGTCTTGGCGTAGCTGTAACCATATCATTGAGGATTAATAAAGTATAACAATTCTAATCTGAAATGTTGATCCTGTTATCAAATGAAAAGAACAAATTACACTTGTATGAAACCTGCTGCTGCTGTGTTTTTAAATCTAACGAGCTGTAGAGTGCTCATGGATCTAAAACTTTAAATCTTCAGTTTTATATCATCTTCAGTCTTGTCTCAAGTACAACATTTAATTTCCAGGTAATTCTTTAACAGTACTCTGTGGAGTGTGCAGCTCATGTCATCTCTGTCTAAGGGAGAGTGCTGAAGCATTCAAACATAGAGACTATTAGAGTAGCACAGGTGTGTAGCATTGCTATCTAATTAACAACAGGGATACAATCAGAATCAAATCGAATGCGAAAGAAGACCCCTGAACACAAATAAGCGTGATGAGAATGACTAATAATGGCAGACAAGCATATTTGGGAAAAATGAGAAGAACTCTCGTCCCGTCCGCTGATCTATGACCTATACCGCATCAGACACCAGGGGGCGAAAGAGACGTTTTGGCTTCATGTTTGTGGAGCTCTAGGTGGTCCATGGGGAAAAGGGGGCGGATTTGGCTCTTTCGGCTTCCCGTACTATACCGGTGGACGGAAACGGAGGTGTTGTTGACGCGCGGGGTTTGCTGGGAAAGTTTTAGTTTGACGCCATTTTGGATTAAGAAACAGAGGGAGTAGTCGAAGTTGCAGGTATTTCACAGCCGTGCGTGTTTTCAGCTACATCAGATCTTCACTGGGTAAGAATCGGGGAAGGTTATGTAATAAGGGTAGAGTTAGTAAAACCGCTGCATTTAATTTACAGCAGATATGTTGACCACAAGTTAGCATTAGCTATCGAGTTGTCCGGGAAGCTAATTTAGGGTCTAACCAGGAATAAGTTGGCCAAAATCCGTTTTGTTCTGTTTCACGGAGTGAGGTTAGTTCCTGCAAGCTAGTAAAACGACGTGTTACGAAAGCGAATAACGTGGGTATTCACTGTTCATGTTGTCTGTTAAATGTGTGCCTATACTCTCAGGAGTGGAGGGATTTAAGCAGTTAGGCATGACCTCCTTCCTGACCGGGAAAGCGGGTCGTGTCCACTTCCCTGATAAAGAAATATCCTAGTTTAGGAGCGGCTATCGCTGTCATTGTTTGCAACGCTTCAGTTTAGAAGAAGGTGAACTTAGCGCTCATCATCTGTCGAGGTCCTCTTAAGATCTCGGGTAGGAGAACTCACTTGGAGGTGGAGATTGCTGTGACCTTAAATACTCTACAGTTTTCCAGGTGGTGCTGCATGTCTTCTCCGACTTGCTGAATATTCCCGAAACGATTCAAACTTGGTGTCGATTTAGATGGAGACGAGGTTCCGAAGGTGAAGCCGTTGTTCTAAACAGCGCTTTACTTTGGAGGTGTGGTTCGTTGTGTGGCAGTGATGTACCGTTTCTAGCACATTCTGTGGGAGACTTGGACTATTGTTCTTTAATTGCTGTTGAATTGCTTCTGTTGTACTATTTTCTGTGGCTACAATAATAAAAAACAATAGTGCACTCTAATTTTGAAGTTAAATAATAAAGGGTTGAAAGTAGGACTGCAACGATTAATGCGAATAATTTGATTATAAAATTGACTCAAATGCTTCGTTGAATGCATGGCTCTGAATTATGCAGATGAAATGTTAACTTCAGCTACAGCTCGGACGGAAGCGATATCTGCAGCAAACGGGGGCTTGAGTCTAAAGGGCGGCATTCATGTCGAGCCTTTCGTAACATTTTTTCAGATTGAAAGTGGCATTGGGTTAATATTTAAACATATTAAAATAAAAGCTTGTTTTCGGACACTTGGTGTCGTAAGCCCCGCCCTCTGTTCAAAGATGGCCGTTCACAGTGGACACAGATGCCTCTTTCACTCCTCTTTCCAATCATCTGTGTTCTCTGTCCAAAATGTGAACATTTCATCCTTGAAAGAGTGACCTTCGACCTTTAGATGATGATGTCCAGCCCACAGAAACAAAGGTCTAGATAGTGACTATAAAAGCCACCGACCGAGAGCAGTCACAGGGATCACAGCTGGTGTGTTTGAAGTGTTCTTTGGTGTGCGGGGAGCTTACCACAGGCTTCATTTTGACTTTTGAGCTGGTGGAATAAATTTGTGGTACTGCTGCCTTTTGTGGCATAGTTTTATGGCATGTTTTGAAAAATACTGCATTTTGTTCGACATCCAAACGACAGCGAGTCTCATTCCTTCGCTCATCTGAGACTTCTGCTGTCCCTGTCCGGCAGCATAGAAACACGCCTGCTCGGCGCGTTCCAGCCGGGAGACATGTTTCCAGCTGGCAGGTGTGAATAAATGATGCATTTGCAGCCTGTGGTAGGAAAACAACCTCACAGTGAATTACATGCAGGCAGCTTTTACGATGCAACCATTTAACCGATGTACATGGAAAAACTCAGGATACATCGAGTATATTCGATATATCGCCCGCCCCTACCCGAGGGTTGTTAGGTTGGACGCTGATTATTGATATTACCATCTACACCATCACGTCTTGTTTTCAGCAGCACAAAAGTGTTGCATCAAAGCACAGGGCAAACTTGAGAATGCTAATATGTTTGCTTTCCTTCATTGCAGACACGCTTAGTCTTTTAAAGGTTTACAGACACAAACTCACTCGCTCGTCCCTTCAAGGCGGTGAATCGCCCGTTTAACGAACTAGTGAAACGGCCCCAGAGCATAATCTGTCAGTGCCATCAACTCCTACTGTGCTTTACCAGCTCGGTTTTTTTTTTTTCTTCAAGCAGTTTTGAATGTATTGGGAGAGAGAATAACAATCATTGACTCCGTATATAGAAATAATAATCATTGCATTACTATAAGGACTCACAAATGTCAGCAGATTTGTGAAGGCCGATTGCTGAAATGATTGAATGGACATAAGAGAATGTAGTGCACTGGGAAAGTATTCTAGGTGTGTTGCTAGCAGCCTGGACAACCACAGATGGTCCCACAGCCACTCTGTGCTTAGGTGGTTCCTGGTTTGAAACTTGGCATTCAAGTTCGGTCTTTGTTTGATCAGACCAGAGAATTTTCTCAAGTCCTTCAGGTGCTTTTTTTGGCACTCAAGGTGACTTTCACGTCTTACAGAGTCACTTCTGTCAGGTGACTTTGCCATGCAGGCCTAATTCTTGTAGTGCTGCAGAAATGGTTGTACTTTGCAAGGTTCTGCTGGAGCTCTGTCAGCGTGACCATCAGGTCTCTGTCCCCTGCCTGACTAAGGCCCTCGTACCGTGACTGCTCAGATTGGCAGGGCGGCCACCTCTAAGAAGAGTCCAGGTGGTTCCAAACTTCTTCCACGGAGGCCAGTGTGCTAACTGGGAGCTTCAAGCTGCAACAAGTTTTATGTACCATTCCCCAGTCTATTTCTCCCGCGCACACTCTGCTTGTTGATGTCATTTCGTATGTTGTAAAGTAAAATGTACCGAGGCTTCAGCACGGTGGTGACTGCATCAATCTGCTTAAATCCTCAGACACAATGGCGAGTCCAGGGAAAGACAACTACAGGATGAAGAGCTATAAGAACAAAGCGCTGAATCCTCAGGAAATGCGTCGAAGGAGAGAAGAGGAAGGAATTCAGCTACGCAAACAAAAAAGAGAGGAGCAGGTGATCTTTGCTAACGTTTGGTGTATAAAATGGAATTAAGCTAACAGAGTTCAACACGTGTGTGGGACTGTTATGGTCCTGTTAGCACATGCTGTGTTTTTCCTATCAGGGTGTGAGTTCTGCTCTCCTGCCTTTGCTACCAGCTAACTGCACTCAGCAACTGGGGCTCAAGTTCCCATTAAAGAGTTGTGTCCATGTGGCTTCTTGCTCACTCTGTGTCTGTGTGTTTGGTTAACATTGATTTTGCTCAGCTTTTGTTTTTGACTGGTTTGTGTTTCTCTCTTTACTTTGGTCCTGATTCTTCTCCGTCTCCATTTTCAGTCTGGACTTCTTTACAATATTCAGGCTGCATCTCTGCTCCGATCACCGCCGTCTCCTGCAGCCTTTCATTTGTGCGTCTGTGCATTTATTTAATGTGTGTCTGTATGACTGCAGCTGTTCAAGAGAAGAAATGTCTGCATACCTTCAGCTGATGACTCCATGCAGGAATGTCCGATCCAAGATCCAGACATCAGCTCCACAGTACCCATCACAGCTGTAAGTGTAAGCTGCCTCTCTCCTGTAGGTTTGCTGTGCTGTAGTCTGAACTAAACATGAACTCTCTGATGCGTTTGTGCAGGATGGAGTCATAACAGCAGATATGATTCAGATGATCTTTTCTGAAGACCCCGACCATCAACTAATTGCTACACAGAAATTCAGAAAATTGCTTTCCAAAGGTGTGTCTCTGTGACGTTTAATGGAAGATTCGTGTTTCTGTAGTCGGTTTACTAACAGAGAAATAACTGTTTGGACCAAAGTTGAACAGAGAAGCTGCCAAGTTATTTTATTCTGCTTCCACCTGGCTGTCAACAACAGGCTCTGCTCTGTGTGCAGCTTCTGCAACGCCTCGTTTCTACAGGCGCAGTGCTGCCTCAGTATCAAAATACTAAAGTAATCATTTCCCACAACTTTATCAATGTTGCACCACACCTGTGCTGGCTTACACAACAGAGATTAAACCAAGAGAAACACAAAATGACCTGAAAAAGAAATCTTGCTCTTTGAGGTGTTTTTCCGCAGAACACAAATTGAATTGGTTTTGTGAAACAGCCTGTTGCTCTGTCTGTGAAATGCCTTTAACCCTTTAGCAGGTTTGTGCTCAAAGTGTTCACTTGTTTCTTTTGCACAGAACCCAGCCCCCCCATAGATGAAGTGATTTCCACTCCTGGTGTTGTGACTCGGTTTGTGGATTTTCTGCAGCGGAGTGAAAACTGCACACTGCAGGTCAGAGAATCCAACGCTGTACACCTGAGAGTATCAGGACATCTGGATGTCCCACTATCAGATAACAGATGTGTTCCTGTGTCATGTGTTCACCTCAGCAGACGTCTACAGTCAGATTATTGCTCGTATTTCATTTATTGTTTCATTTTGTCCTTTTCTAATTTGTTATTAGTCTCAAAGCGAGTGGATGACATGGTGCTTCACAGGGCAGCAATTTACATGTTGCTTTATTATGAGTCATATTTATATGTATTTAATAATAATAGCTAGAATGTTGAAATGATTGGTAGGCATTACACAGCTATTGTGAGCATTGAACCTCCAGTTGTATCGGGTAAAACTGTTGTCATATTGTCCACGGTGTGCTCGTAACAGTTCGAAGCGGCCTGGGCACTGACCAACATCGCCTCTGGGACCTTCTTGCACACCAAGGTTGTGATTGAAACAGGAGCTGTTCCCATTTTCATTGAACTGCTGAACTCAGAGTACGAGGATGTGCAGGAACAGGTGAGAGTCACATGATAACACCTGCTTAGTTACAGGTAATCTGCTCATCTATAGTGAGTGAGTTGAGTCAGTGCGTTGCCATCTGTATCGTGGATGTTGAGTTTTTCTAACAGTTTCAGGACTTTTGAGAGGCACAAACCTGAATGTGTGTAAACTGCTGTGGTAGTGTTTGACAGGACGAGTTTTAGTGTCAAAGGCGGCCTGTTGGGCTGTAACGTAGTTGAAGCATGTTGGCTGTTTTCCAGGCAGTGTGGGCACTGGGGAACATAGCGGGCGACAACGCTGAGTGCAGAGACTACGTACTCAACTGTGGCATCCTCCCGTCTTTACAGCAGTAAGTGTTCGTCGTCTGTCTGCGTTTGTGTGTCAGAGCTGCACTAACAGCTGGCTCTGCTCTGTGCAGGCTGCTCGCTAAATCCAACCGTCTCACAACAACCCGAAATGCAGTGTGGGCTCTGTCCAACCTGTGCAGAGGGAAAAACCCACCACCAGATTTTGCAAAGGTCAGCCCCGTCATTGTTGTTGAGTCACTGAATACTGGAGCTCATTCGCCTTCCTCCTCCTTAAAGTCATATTTCCTGTACTGATCATGTGGTTCCAATATTAAATTGTCCCCTTGTCTGTGTTATTTTGTCAGGTGTCTCCTTGTCTCAACGTTTTGTCCAGGCTGCTGTTCAGCAGTGATCCAGATGTGCTGGCCGATGCGTGTTGGGCTCTCTCCTACCTGTCTGACGGCCCCAATGAAAAGATCCAGACGGTCATCGACTCCGGGGTCTGCCGCAGGCTCGTTGAGCTGCTCATGTACGACACTGACATACTCTTTGGTTGTTGTTGTTTTTTGCACATTTGTTGAACATAAATGAAAATTGCTCCCTAAAAGTAAGAGCTGATTGTGCTGTGACAAGCTTTGAGTGTTCCACGTAGCTGTGAAGCAGCTTCAGCCCCCTGTTCTTTGCAGAATTGAAGGGCTGTTGAGCCAAAACGTAACGTTGGATTGGATTTAAGTGTCATGAGTGTAGCTGAGTTTCAGCGTGCGAACTGGCTGGACATGGTCCTTCACAATTTTCTGGGAGACAGCTGAAATGATTCTTCCGTCAGTCATGGGGAACACTGGCCATTTGCCCAGTTGGGTTAATTGAAGGGACGCTCCACACCAGCCCTGTAAGTGCTGACACGAGCCCATTCGTTCATTTTCATTGCTGATGCTGTATTGCCCAATCAACACACTTAAGTGCCACAAAGTAAATAAGCGGCAGACGAAAATGACGCAGACTGAATCATCAGCACGCGAGCATGAGCGTTTTCAGTGGGGATGAAAACAATAGTGTGGACGCGGAGACCAAGACGCTGTTTTCAAGTTTATCCAGGTTGGTGTAGCTGAGAGGATTATTCCTGTGTATAGTGAAGGGGGCATGTGGAATGCTGGGTATCGGCTTGGACTGAGAGCAGGTCAGATCGGGGGTGGTGACACTTAAAGGCAGCCAAAAGAAGAAAACTGAAACATTAATAAACGAAGTGCTGTGGTGAATAAAAACTGCTGTTGGGTGGTGCTGGATTTAAAAAGAAGGGATCAGCGTGTTGAACAGAAATGTTGGATTAACAGTCGGCGGTATTAGTTTCCCTTGCAATGAGCCTATTCATGCACAGTGTCTAAGCTCCAGCTTTCAGTCCTTTGAGTTTCTTATTGGTGGTATGAAACTTCCAGAGTCACAGGTTCTTTTCTGATATTTTCTTGTCTGAGAGCGTCTGCTCTGTTCGTCTGTTTTCTTTGGGAGACGCAGCGTCCAGTAGAACACAATCAGCTTCCTCTGATTTCGTTCCCTGGACGATTTGAAGCATCAAACGTTGTTTTCTTTTGATGGCGTAACATTGTTGCACAAAGAATCTGTCGTTTCTGATCCCGTCCACGCTTTGCACGTCTCACTGTGTGCCTCCTGTTTCCAGGCACGGCGACTACAAGGTTGTTTCTCCTGCCTTGCGTGCAGTGGGAAACATCGTGACAGGAGATGACATCCAGACTCAGGTACAGCCTCTGTTTCTTCCATCGGTGCTGCTTGGCCTTTTCTCATTGACAGCATTAAGATCTTTGGCTCCTCTGCTTTCGTCTCAGGTAATCTTGAACTGTTCAGCACTGCCATGTTTGCTCCACCTTCTCAGCAGCCCTAAGGAATCCATCAAGAAGGAGGCCTGCTGGACTGTGTCCAACATCACCGCAGGAAACCGAGCTCAGATTCAGGTATTCTGCTGCGGCGTCTCCGTTTGTCGTGGCGAGATGAAGAGCTGCTGTTCTTTGCTGCTGACCACATTTTTCTGTTTTTGTCAGAACGTCATTGACGCCAACATCTTTCCAGTACTGATCGAGATCCTTCAGAAGGCCGAGTTCCGCACAAGAAAGGAGGCTGCGTGGGCAATTACCAACGCCACCTCTGGGGGCACTCCCTCACAGATAAAGTGTGTTTACCAGACGTACCCGCCCTCGTCTTAGAAACACTTGATGTGAAGATTCCTCCTTACGTAGTTCTGGTGCCGTGTTTCCCACAAATACAAGCTTGAGTCACAGTTCAGTGCGAGTAGTTGCACCATGTGATGAGTCATTAAAATCCACCAATGTTAGCTGAGCACTGCTTCAGATGGTGCACCACACTCTTGCCTACAAACACCACATGGATGTTAATGTGACTCATTCAGACTGTTAAATCCACAGCGCTGGTTTCATTTTACATGTTCATATATTTGGTTTGTCAGATTTCACTGTGCTGGGACTTCTCTGCACATTTGCACAGCAGGAATTGGTGGAAATCCAAAAATCAGTCGTGCTTTATAAACAAAGTGAAATGCTGCTGAGGACTAACGTCTGTGCTTTCCGTGACAGGTATCTGGTGTCCCTGAATGCCATCAAACCTATGTGCGATCTGCTGACAGTGATGGACTCTAAGATTGTTCAGGTGTCACTGAACGGTTTAGAGAACATCCTCAGACTGGGAGAACAGGAAGCCAAACAGAATGGAACTGGCATCAATCCGTACTGCGCTCTGATTGAGGAAGCTTACGGTAATGCTCGCAAACCACCAACAGAACATTCACGAGCTTTCATTCACTCAGAAAAGTGGACACGTTCTTTCCACGTTCTTTTGTGTCGCCTTTGGTTCCACACCCACCGAGTGTTCACTGCACCTCGGTGGGGTTGCTTCTTTCTCGGCACCTCTTTGTAACCGAGCGTGTTTGCAAGAACGTCTAAGTTTAAAAAAGTGTCAAATAAAAGTGAAAGCTTTGTTTAGGAAGTATGTGCGTGAGGGGAGAGTTTGGACATTTTAAGAACCACAAGCTTTATAGGCATGCTGGTATTTTTGACACACACGCACACACACACACACACGCACACACAACCACACACGCACGACACACGCACGCACACACACACACACACACACAACACACACAGCCACGCACACGCACACACACACACACACACACACACACACACACACACACACACGCTGCTGGATGCAGGAGAGGAACTCGGGGTTCAGTATCTGGCCCTGCCGTACTTTGGCGCACAGACAGGGATGGAAACAGCAGCACTTTGATTAGAAATGCCTGCTGTAACTATATTCACAGGAGCTTTCTGTCACTCAGTGTTGAAACTTCTGTCGTGTGAAGATTTGTGCGTTTGCTTCCATTCTTTCAGGATTGGACAAGATTGAGTTTTTACAGAGCCACGAGAACCAGGAGATCTACCAGAAGGCCTTTGACCTGATTGAACACTACTTCGGTGTGGAGGAAGAGGATGCCAGCCTGGCTCCACAGGTGGATCAGAATCAAGGCCAGTTTGTCTTCCAGCAACAGGAAGGACCCATGGAGGGTTTCCAGCTTTAATCCCACTGCACTTCCTTAGTTCGGTCTTGTTGGACTTGGAACGTCTCTGCAGCAGACCCGTCTCTTCTCTGCTGTGCAGGATCTTCACGTGTACTATGCCTGAGATTTGTGAAAATAGAGATCAAGCGTTTGGCTCCTCTGGAGTCCTAAATAGAGAGCTGAGCTTTACCTGTTTCCGTACCGTTGATAAAATGTCTCTGCCATCGAAAGCCGACTCAAGTCAAAAGGTTTTGAAACCTTGTTTTCAAATTTAGTGCAAAATCACAACGTTAAGCTTTCAGTGGTGTTTTTTTAATCATTCAAAATGATGTTAATATTTATGTCTCCAAGCCATCATCCATATCCCTTTGTGAATGTGAAACTACCTCTTCAGTCTCCAGAAAGAAGAGTGAAAAGGGAGAGAAAAGAACACCGAGCATTGCTTCATTTTTCCATTGATGTGGAAATCTGAAAGGAAATCCGGATCCGAAATGTTCAGATCAGGGTCACCTGTAGAACAACACTACTGTATGTCCCAGCGCTGCCGTCTGGAGCAGCGGCACATCCACCTTTTACTTCTAAAGGACTTGAAGAACGGAGGGCTGCTGTGTCTGCTGAGCTCGTTAGAAACAGAAGAGTCGGAGCTTTTTTCCTTCACCTCTCACTGAAAGCAGCTTCCTGCATCGAGCAGCGGCCTGAGTTAGTCTGTGACAGTGTTAGCTTTTCATTGCTGCTAATTTCAAACGTTCTTTCAGTTGATCCGCAAGTTATCAGGACGTGGCAGGTAATGTCTGTGACACGATGCTGTGTGCAAAACTCTTTCCCGTGAGATTGTTCAGTTGTCTGGTTTGCCAGTTATCAGTCTTAAATTATTTCTGCCTGGTGTGATGGGATTTCCTGAGCGACCTGGAGGGTTTTGTATATTATATATACATGTAAGTGCAAAGACGATATTTAAGTGGCTGTGGGAATAGGTTATATGCAATATTTTTTCTGCTTGATATGCAGTTTTGACAGTTTCATTTTGAACTTTGAATATTTCCACTTTATTTTTTCATGTTTTGTTGTGGTCGAGGTCTTAAGGAGGAAGCGGAGGCTTCTTTCCTTCTTCGAGCTCCGCCCCTGAACACTTTTGATACGTGTCGATTTGAGTACAGTGACATCAACTGGACGCAAAATCAGTCTATATTTATGTGGAGTAAAACTATTTGTAATGCAGAATTTACATCAAGCACATTCAATCATATAGTTTTCTAATATTTCTGGTTTCTCTGTTTTTCTTCTTTTTTTTGTAGTTTTTGGGTTTTTTGCTCTTGGAAGTTCATTTGCTGTGTTCTCGTCGCTCGTGGATTCATGTGTTTAATTGTCAACAGCCGATGTACAACAGTGTGATACTATAATATGCAGCCTGTGGTTCCTGACACACGGAGACCTGCTGGTGGAGGCTGTGGTAGTCACTGATCATGTGTGAGGCTGCAGCTATATGATGTAAAAAAAAAAAATAATAATAATTAAATGCATCCATTGGATAAAAACGATGTGAGCTGTGGTGTGCTGTGAGTATCTGGAGGAAAGTTCTCGTCCTGTTTGACTTTGGTGTTTAGTCTGTGAGGAGGACGACCAGCAGGTGTCCCTATGCAGATGAGTCAGATTGTCTCAAAGCCTCGCTGCGACCTGTGCCGCCTCGTTTGAAGCTGAAGCTCCGGCACGAGTCAGAGTCACACAGCTTCAGAAACACTGGGCCGAGGCGGGGGCTGAACAGAGTCACGTGATCGATGACGTCAGAAGCTTCGTCACTGCTTCAGCACCTTATTCAGTGTTTTGTAAGGAACTGAATCACTGGCAGCATGTGTGCTGTGTTTGGGTGATTTAGCGCGAGGTTGTGTGCCACATAATTAGAGACATGAAGCCAAGAAGAGGGGACGCTCTGCCTGTTTCTAAATAAAAACCAGTTCAATTTTATTTAGCAACAGTCACCTCAAGACGTGTTATAGTGTAAGGTAGACCCTACAGTAATAATTGCTGGTAAAAAATCATCAGCGATTCTGCTCCCAGCTCTAAAGACAAACACTGCAATTATAGAAGTTATAGTTTATATAAAAGCATCTCCTGGTAAATTACATAATCAGGTGGAGGCAGGGACCTCACTTCACCTACTAGAGGTTCCCAAAGTGTGGGGCCCGCCCCCTAGGGAGGTGCAGAGCCATTGCAGGGGGGGTGTGGTATGAAAAGGAAAAAAACAAACACTTGGACACTGCTAACATCATGGACAGGTTTGCTGACGGGGCGCCCACACAAACGCAAAGCAGGAGATGAAGCGTCGCTGAATGTTTCCAAACCAACTTCATTCTGAGCCAAAGACTAGAAAATCTGGTGAAGCAAATCTTCCCTTTGGCTTCACCTGCGCAGGTGCTGAGGTAGGTCTCCCTGCAGGACTGGTTTCCCCTGCGTCAGGAGCAGCGCTGGGCTCTTCAAATCACGGACAAACAGGATCCCACATTCTTGACTTTTAGTTCACAAACACTTGTTGTAATGACTAACTGCTCCTGACATGTTGGAGATGTTTGCTCTTTATACAGTAAAGTTACAGCTGGATACAAATAACATCAGGCTGATCCTGCCACGATTTTGTGTTTAAACCCATTTTGCACAGAGAGGCATTTTTTGAAAAATGTATTGATGCAATGTTGAATATTATTACACAGGAAAAAACAACTACACGTAAAATAATCCCACCGTGACGCCTCTGCCTTTGTAAATGAAGGGACAGTAACTGCGTGTAAACCTGCAGACAGTCAGATTAACAGTATTTCGTCTCTATCTGCTATTCTGCAATTCATCCCATTCATCCCTGCGCTAACCAGACTGCAGTGGGAGTACAAGCAGAGCAGCCTCCTCCTGTTCACTGAGACATGGCTCACGGACCACACACCGGACTCTGTCATAACTCTGGATGGCTTTCAACTGGTTAGAGCACCGGAATGCAATGGAGAGTGGTAAGAGGAGAGGTGGGGGACTAGCAATGTCTGTCAGTGAGAGATGGTGTAACCCAGGGCACATCACTGTGAAGGAACAGAGCTGTACCAAAGACATTGAACTGTTGGCAGTTAGCGTCCGGCCATACCACCTGGCCAGGGAATTTTCACACGTTATTGTGCTGACTGTTTACATCCCACCCTCGGCCGACGCTACAGCAGCCTGTGATTACATTCACTCCACTGTCTCTCAGCTACAGATGGCACATCCGCAGTCCCTCATTATTATTTCTGGGGACTTCAATCATGCCTCACTATCTGTCACTCTCCCTAACTTCTCCCAGTACGTTGACTGCCATACAAGGGACAGCAAAACCCTGGATCTATTGTTTGCCAACACAAAGCAGGCTTACAGTGCATCACACCTCCCCCCGCTTGGCCACTCAGACCACAACCTGGTCCTTCTCCACCCCACCTACACACCTATGGTGAAGAGGAACCCCCCACGAAGAAGGTGATAAGGGTGTGGTCTGAGGAATGCACTGAGGCCTTAAGAGACTGTTTTGAATGCACAGACTGGCAGGAACTCTGCAAGCCTCACGGTGAGGACATCGACGCCCTCACTCACTGCATCACGGACTACATTAATTTCTGTGTTGAGAACACTGTGCCTACCAAGAAGATACAGTGTTTCTCAAACAATAAACCGTGGGTCACCCCAGAACTGAAGGCCCTGCTGAACAAGAAGAAGAGTGCTTTCTGGTCGGGAGACAAGGAGGAACTTAAGAAAGTCCAAAAGGATCTTAAATACAAGATCCGAGAAGGCAAGGAGTGCTTCAGGAGGAAGATGGAAAACCAACTCCAACAGAAAAACGTCAGAGAAGTCTGGAGATGAACATGAATCTCTGGACATTTCCAGGACAATGGAGGAGCCACAGTGTCTGCTGGCCGGGGGTGGGCTAACGACTTGAATCTGTTTTTTAACAGATTTGACAATGGCCCACTGATCACCTCCCAGGCCCCAGGTTCCATTAACCCCCCTCCATTTGCCGCCCCCCGGGTGCAATGCCATTGTCACCTGAGCTCTCCTCTCACCACAACTCTGCTTCACCCCTATCCACACATCTATCCACAACAAAGCGAGCCCCACCCCCCACTCCAGCCCAGCCTCACATCTACTTCACAGCTGATCAGGTGAGAAATCAGCTCAAGAGGACGAAGGCAAGGAAGGCAGCAGGTCCGGATGGAATCTGCTCCAGACTGCTCGGGGACTGCAGACCAGCTCTGTCAGGTGGCCCTGTACATCTTCAACCTGAGCCTGAGCCTGGAGAGGGTTCCTGAACTGTGGAAGACTTCCTGTGTGGTTCCGGTGCCACAAATCGCACACCCCAGGGAGCCCAACCACTTCAGGCCTGTTGCCTTGACTTCTCATCTGATGAAGACCATGGAAAGGCTCATCCTGCACCACCTTCAGCCACTGGTGGGCTCAGTGTTGGACCCCCTGCAGTTCGCCTACCGTTCTGGAATTGGGGTGGATGACGCTGTCATCTACCTGGTACACCGATCCCTCTCTCACTTAGAGCAGGCGGGGAGCACTGTGAGGATCATGTTTTTTGACTTCTCCAGTGCTTTCAACACCATCCAACCCGCACTACTGAGAGGGAAGCTGGAGGGAGCCGGAGTAGGCAAACAGCTGACTGCATGGACCATCGACTACCTTACCAACAGACCACAGTATGTGAGGCTCCATGACTGTGTGTCCGAGGTGGTAATCTGCAGCACGGGGGCACCACAGGGCACGGTTCTC